AAAGTCAATGTTCGGCAGTTACATCATCTTCGCTTTGCTGATAACGTCGTGCTTGTAGTACCAAAGATTAGCCAAGCGGAAGATATGCTTGCCGACTTTGATAAAGCCTGTGGAAAGATTGGTCTTCGACTAACGCAAAAACGATGTTCATGAGGAACGTATTGGTTTCGCATGCCCCATTCATGCTCAACGGGACGATTATCTCCGAATGCTCCAGTTATGTCTATCTAGATCGGGAAATCAATATGATGAACGACTTAGCTCCAAAGCTGAGCAGAAGGAAATGAGAGGCTTGGGAGCTTTCAAGAGCATCGAGGATGTAGTGAAGAGAACAAGGAACACCCGACTTCGTACCAACTTTTTCGACTCAACGGTACTTGCTGCCCTAACGTATGCGTCAGAAACCTGGTCGCTGCGTAAGAGGGATGGAAGGTCACTTAGCGTTATCGAACGCGCAGTCGATAGGACGATGTTAGGGAGTATCCCGTTTCAGACAAGTAAAGGATGTGATCCGAAGCTCCGACCTGCGTCAACGATCGGAAATCAAAGATGCCGTTCTGTATACCAAACAGTCGAAGATAAGGAGGGCCGGACACGTAATGCGTGTGAATGAGAACCGATGGACAAGAGCCGTTAGTAACTGGATTCCTCGGGATGTCAAGCGTATTGCAGGAAGACCACCGACCCGATGGTCAGAGTTTTTCACAAGGAGCCTTGAAGAAAGGTATGATACTCGAGGAGTCCCTAGAGCGAGCAGTACCCACTGGGCTACTCTTGCACGCAACAGGGAGAAATGGAAGATCTCCTGGTGCCCGCTCGAGTCACTCGGCGATCGACGGGGGTACAGATGATACAGGTGATACACATATGACGAATCGCGGTGGTTTCATTACGTAGCGGGCTCATCAAAATATTTGACGTAGTTACGTGAGGTCAAGATATAAGTTTGGCGTTGTAGCAAATGTGTTGAAGGGAAGTATTACATTGCTACTCATTTACATGGATCATTCTCACGAGTTGTGCCAGTTCCGCCACACTTTCCATTCGTTTGTTTTCACCACTATCGTCGTATAGTTGTGGTTTTTTTCGAACATGATGAGATGTATCACCTACATTAGATGTTGCCACGTTGACCTATGAGTGACTCAAACGGGCGTCAGTAGGTCCTCCATTTCTCTTTGTTACGTGCAAAGGTAGTCCAGTTGGTTCTGTTTGTCCTGTGACTTATTGAGCATTATATCTTTCTTCTAAGGTTTTTGTGAATAGCTTTCGCTATAGGATCACTGGTCTTTCTGCTGTGTATTTGACATCCCGAGGAATCCAGTCACTAGCGGCCGTTGTCCATCGGTTGTCGTTCATATGCATTACGTGTTGGGCACATGTTGTCTTCGACAGTTTGGTGTATAGAACGGCGTTTCTGCTTTTTGATCGTTGACGTGGGTCGGAGCTTCGTAGCCCCTCTGTCTCACTTGTGTGATAGGAGATAGTTCTCGTACCGTCCTTTAGACTATGAATTCTATAACACTGGATGGTCTTTAATCCTACTTACTGTGTTTAACGTTTTGTTTTCTGCCTTCTATAATTTTCATGGCAGGTTATTAAGCGAAATACAACCACAACGTTGCTGAGATATTTGCAAAACTCTGGACCGCAGGTGTCTATGGTGGGGAACGAACGCGCTATTATCCTTTCCGGGGAGTAACGCGTTCACCACCACACCATGCGGGTCCTTTGTTTCGCACGTCTCTCAGCTATTTCTATCGATCTTTTTGCCACAGCAATCACCCGTCAGCGGGGTTGATCTGGGGAGCGCAAATCGGCATAGAACCCAGTTAAGCTATGGCTGTAGTTGAAATCACAATGTTTAACGTTTTGTTTTCTGCCTTCTATAATTTTCATGGCAGGTTATTAAGCGAAATACAACCACAACGTTGCTGAGATATTTGCAAAACTCTGGACCGCAGGTGTCTATGGTGGGGAACGAACGCGCTATTATCCTTTCCGGGGAGTAACGCGTTCACCACCACACCATGCGGGTCCTTTGTTTCGCACGTCTCTCAGCTATTTCTATCGATCTTTTTGCCACAGCAATCACCCGTCAGCGGGGTTGATCTGGGGAGCGCAAATCGGCATCGATATCGATAAAAGATCGATAGAAATAGCTGAGAGACGTGCGAAACAAAGGACCCGCATGGTGTGGTGGTGAACGCGTTACTCCCCGGAAAGGATAATAGCGCGTTCGTTCCCCACCATAGACACCTGCGGTCCAGAGTTTTGCAAATATCTCAGCAACGTTGTGGTCCTACTTACTGTATTCATCAGCTTTCTGGCGCATACATTAAGGCAAGAAGAATCGTGTATTCGAGAAATTTGGCACTTCGTCGGATGTTCTTTGTTTTCTTCACTACATCGTCGGTGCTCTTGAAAACTGCCAAACCGCTCACTTCCTTTTGCACAGCTCTGGGGCTAAGAAGTTCATCATGTTGACTTCTCGACCTAGGTAGACGTAGCTGGAGCAATCGGAGGTATTCATTCCGTTGAGCGTGAACGGTGCACACATAGCCAATCCGTTCTTCACGAACATCGTTTTTGTGAAAATTAGTCGAAATCATATCAACTTGAGTGTATCTGGAAACAGAGCTCCCTGGTGACTTTCGAAATCTGCTTTTATTGCACTGGAGCGTTGAATTAGCAGGTAATATTCTTCTTCTATGTTGCCAATAACAACATCTTCCCAAGAGCCAACAAACGATCAGAATGAAACCCAGTTTGTGATAGTTTTGGGATTTCGTTTTTTTGAACATAGCGGTTTTATCTCTTTTCTGCGTTAAGGGAAATCTCACACCAAAGAGACTGTGGTTTCATACCGTGTAGCAGTTTCGGACAACAGCGAGATCGGTTAGGCAAAACCTTTGATTTACTTTGATGTGGTCTACTTTGTTATGGCACTCTCCATTGAGAGACTCCCACGTCCAGCGTTGAAAGTGGAGGTTGTCGAACTGTGAGTCACCATAAATGGTCTTGGTCGTTTTGATAAAACACAGGTAGCCGCTCATTCCGCTCGTTCCATTTTAATCGATGGGTCCGAATGTAACGTTCTTCAGACGTTCTTCTGCTTGCAATCTTAGCGTTAAAGTCTCCAATGATGACCTTAAAGAATGTACGGTTTTCTCTGTTAAATTTCGTGAAGTCCATATAGAAGGCTTCGACTTCATGTTCATCATAGTTTGATGTCGATGCGTAGACGACGAAGATTGTCAAAGCAGGTGTTGATCGACATCTCTTTAACCGTATACGTTTGACTGGACTAATGGCGAAACTCGTGTTGATGAGAGTGCCGATGCCACCGACTCTAGTATTGTCGCACGTTCTGAAGAACAGTTCTTCTCCCATGTCATAGACGGCGATTACTGGTCGGTGTTTTTTCGTCTCAACCATTTTAATGACGTCTTACCTTATTCTTCTTGCCTGCATGATCAAGTCCTCTATCTAGAACTCGGGTGCAGGTGTGCTCGCATTGTAGGTGCAGATACCTTAGTCCTTTGCGATTTAGGCAGTAGAATGGCTCTGATATTTTAGCAGCCTCTCCGTGCTCGCATTACCCAACACTGCTGTAGCGCGAGTTGTTTCGCAGTCAGGGGAATGACGCCCACTTCTTTTACAACGTTTAGTGTTAGATGCTCTCTCTCGTATAGTTTGCTGAGCTCAGAACATGGGGACTGGGTGTACTCACGTGTGGCTTGCCAGTTTGTCCCAGAGCATACATGGAGTTTATTTGCTAGAGGCGATTCCTTACTGCCTGTGATCTATTTTTCAGTCACTTGATTATATATTTTTGGCCAAAGTGACTTGTAGAATATGATCCGGGTAAGCAAGAAAATACCCACTTACGCTATGAATAAAGGAGCTGTTATCTTCATAACATGTTCACTCAGTAGAGTCCGAGGTTTTGAGATGGCCAGCATTTAACAACATTCTTGACAAAGATGAAGAAATAGTCAGTCAGCAGTCGAGCTCACATGCAAACAAGTTCTAAGACCTTCGTGGATGATGGATACGAGACAATGAATTGAATACAAAAGGTGATGAGATCTGTACTTTATGATACATGTGATATCGGATCGTGTAGAAAAAAATAGTGCGAATAAGTTGCTGGTGGTGAAAATACTCAGAAAAAGTTAATCATTCTTTAGTCATATGGAACCGATTCTATTCGATGAAATGTTTATTGATAAAAAAGCGGCTTTCTGCCAACGTAGTTCGGAATTTCGAGAAACCCACGCTTGGGTGTTCTCAGGTTTCCGCCCGTTGTTGTGGATCTAAGGAATGTTTGGAAGTTGATGACGGGATTTACATTAGAACATCGGCGATTCTTATCTGCTATATGTGAACATCCAACTAGAGGTCATAAGCTCCTTCTTTGCGCTGTATATTTCGAAATGCAGAATCATCATCCATTCACAATTAATATATAAACTGTTTTAGGGTGTGCGTTACATGTACCACTTGTAATTCTGTTAACTTTCAGTAACTCGAGAGCTGCTAGTAAATCCTTAACTTTTACCCGTCGTGTAAGTGTAGCACAGTGGCGGAATACGTTCCCTATGAGCAAGGTTTTTGATGGTTTCCGAATCCATGATTGAAGAAAAACGTCATCAATAAAGTAATGTTAGTGTAGCTGCTGGCTGTGTATCTTCATCCCCATATTATCACATTTCAATTTTTGCGTGACTTTTTAGAGGGTTAGTGCATTTCATTTATTAAATTCCACTCTTCGGCCAGTGAAAATTTAATTGTACGACCTCTAAATTCTTGTTATAAACCTGTTACCAAAGCAAAAGATGGATTGTTGCGTGTCAAACCAGAGAGACACCCTGGCTGTGAAGAGCTTCAAACTAGTGTTTCTATCCAAACCGCTTGTATATATATATAATATATATATATATGTGTATGTATGTATGTATATATATATGTACGTACAATGTTTTGGATAAATAATTTTGGTTCTTTTAGAGCAACAAATTTTTTTGGAGCAACGTGACTTCCTTAAGTCGAAGGACATCAGGCTAGGACGACAGTTTCTAATACTCCTTGCGAATGGAGGGGTCTTCGCTACACAGTTTTTTGCGATCAAAAAAATGGTCGAAGTGAGTTATCAACTGAATTAGACCGCGGAGAAGGCCTGCATGTTGAGATTATTTGCACACTGCGATAGAGGAGTTTGATACTTTACAAATGGAATTTCTAAGAAGAATTTGGTTTGACTCAAACATCTAACTAAATCACAAATCTCAGTCATTATAGTTCATAGTTAAAGAAATTTGCTTGCTATATCAAAAGTCATTGTATCTGAATGAGGGGGAATAGTGTACAGTCGGTGTTCTGGTGTTTGACCTCTACAGTATGTTGTGACTCTTTCACAACAATGCGCATTGATTTCAATATGTGCGCTGCTATGCAGTATCTTGATTTCAATGTATATCTTGTGCAACACAAAAATGGCCGTAGTCGCGAAAGGGTTGAAGCTTTTGTATTGTAACAATTATTTAGTGCACAGTTTTGACCAAAACTGTTTCTCTGTCAGTATTTCCACGTAGATATACAACTTTTCTTCACTTAACACCTTCACGACCTTTTGTACTCAATCGGTGGCTTTTCAAACACAGATTTAATACCGGGGCGGCTTCATGGAATGGTATTCTGGGGTGTACTTGCAAAAAGCCGTTTAAGGCAGTCTACTAGAATCGATGAGTATAAAAAAACATGAAACAGAGCCAAAAACCAGTTTAACTACTAAAAAAAACCCATGCGGAAAGCTAAAAACATCATGGTTAGGTGACAGTCGAAATTTTTTTCCATTACGCTGAAGTTGGATTACATACAAGCGGTTCCAAGAATATGGGAACATAGGAAAACGTAGCAGATATGTTGGAGGGACATGTAAAAAAAATGTAAAGGAATCGGACAATAGAGCGTTGATCTTAAGGAACCAATGCATCGTACAACACATGCGAGCTCATGGTCCGCAAACCTTGATTTCATTGCGCGATTGCGCTTCTATGCACGTGGTCCGACGAACTCCGTACGCGAAAATGTTGGTACTTCTCCCCACTCCGAAGTATGAGTTGACTTTTTCTCTACAAAGCGCAAGAAATCTGACGTTGCAGATGCTCTCGGAAATTGTCTCGATGAAGACGCTTTTTAATCTGTTTTATTTGCTACCCGTTTCCTACGCCTATTCCTGTTCGAAATTGGTCAAGTTTGGCTTTCCCACCGTATAACCGTGAAAAAGGGTAGAATGTAAGCTGATCGTTAAGCTTTAACTTTACTTCGTTTCAAATTCCACCATGTTTAGTAACCTTCTGATCGACTCATTTAGTTAAGCGTTAGTTCTTTTGTCGTTTTTATGGAGTTGTAAATGCGTAATTATCTTCTTATGTGGAAGCTTATTAGTTTATAATTATTTGTAAAAATAAAGAATAAACGTCTCAACGTTGATCAATCTCTTAGGGGTGCACCAAGCAGTCGACTTCATTAAATATCGTTTTGAGGTGACCAAATGCATATCTGGCCTTTATAATAACTCGCGGAGGCCAGTCAATGTATCGAGTTAATGCTGCTGTCTTCCCAGACAAGTCTGTTACCAATTTAGCGACTCTGGAGAGATGGAAGGCTTGCTGAGCCTGGAACGCGGTATCGAACCCAAGTTTATTCCATGGCACCTCTGGCCCATGCATTGTTATCCATATCCACAATAAACAATTCATCTTGAGCAATTAGTTTAGTCCCGTCTTTTCAGATTATATCTAATGAAGACTATGATATATTGAACGGTAGTGTCATCTGTGGAATATTAGAATTTCATAGACTGAGTGCATCTTCATGATACGTTGCTTATGCCGTCTTCTACAAAATTCCTGCTTCATGTAATTTTCACTTTTTATTGTACACTCTAGCGAAGAACTACCCCTGTCAATTTATTCTATGAAGTTGAGAAGCTCTGGAATAGGAAAGGCACTATGAGGTGTAATTATAACAGTTTTTATGGCCGTTTACAGGTTGGCTATCCTGGTTTGTCCACAGGTGGAATAGCATGGTTTAAGGATTTAACAGCCACAGACCCATATTATGCTCTGCCTCTGATCAGTGCTGCAACGATGGCTTTGGTTACACGTGTAGGTTTTTTCTTTTACTATTCTTAACGAAATTGGCGAAGGTATGTTTTCCCTATTCGATCAGTGTTTAATATTTGGAGATATTTAGTTGTGGTCTAAACTACCATTAGTAAAGGAATTCTTGAGATTCCAATCCACACATATTTACACATGTAGGGTACTATAGCTATGGAATTGCATAAAGCTAGCGGAAAGGCGACAGTGGATTTTGTCGTTACAGAAATACATTTCAGAGCAAATCATCATTATTGGCTTCGCTTGTGTACCCTCTTGAAGGGCATTTCCTTAAGTGCTAGATTTTATGTAGTTTTCTGTGTAATAATATTTTCTATCATTTCATCTTCAGTGATTTTAGCCTACTATGAAAAAAATCTTCTCAGATCATGAAAACCGCACCATTTTATTTCATGAGTTTATTCTTGGCGTCCTGCTTCGGAAGCAGTTCTGTATATCATCAAAGCATAGTCTTCAGAAGGGTTTTCGAATTTACATTGCTGAAATAGTTCATAAGACTTTCTACTTCTGTTCAGCAAACACGAAGTGTTATTTCATTTCTTTATTTACCCACAAGCTGACGTTTCGGTGGATTTCGCCTTCCTCAGAGCCTGGAAGGGTCAAGTTCACTGCAATCTACACGGCCAAACACCTCCATAACCAAACAGAGAAAATGCTGAACCAAAATTTCAATCACATTGAACACAGTCTTTGCACACTCACCGCTTTCTATGAGTATGTCACGTAGAGACCAACTGCACAGAGTTCACACGGAATCGTATTGTGCCCATCTCATTAAAATAGCAAGCTTATATACTGCCCAATATCACACGCGATAATTTGGCATTTTTCCCTGCTGTTCATTTTCGGATTCTTGGAATTAATCCAGAATGCCTCTAGAGTTTTGCGCACTTGAGTCTGTTTATTTTGATCAGATGGGCGCTATACGATTCCGTGTGAACTCTGTGCGGTTGGTCTCCAAGTGACAGACACATTTAGTGGAAGACTCATAGACGATGAATGTGCAAAGACCGTGTTCAATGTGATTGAAATTTCGGTTCAGCATTTTCTCTGTTTGGTTATGGAGGTGTTCGGCAGTGTAGATTGCAGTCATCTTGACCTTTCCAGGCTCTGAGGAAGGCGAAATCCGCCGAAACGTCAGCTTGTACGTAAATAAAGAGATAAAATAACATCTCGTGTTTGCTGAACAGAAGTAGAAAGATATATTGAATCAATGCCGTGGTTAATAGAAAGTCGGACTTGGGAGTTAGTTCATAAGATTTCGTAAGGGAGATATAAATCTTCATCACGGCGAATGTAGTAGGAGTCAAGAGTTGATGTCGCCCATTTAAAGTCGGTGGTCGAGGCTGCCACTTCAGAAAATCCTTGAGGATTTTTAGAACCTTTCACGACTAAACAGGCAATCGTCATTTGGAGAAAACTGGAAAGGTAGAGAAGCTCGATAATGAGTTGAAAGAATTAAATCGAGATCATCGTCGCGAAAACTGTTCTGCCGTTTTTTGCGCAGCAAAAACCTCCATTTCTCAATCAATTTTTGACAAGAGGTAGAAAATAGGTACTACATCCACCCATGACGTTCAGTTCAGTGACTGACGGAAGATGAAGTTCTTAAGTATTTTGCAAATCTCAGTTTGCTCGAAAGGATGGGTGTGGTGGTTCTTTAGTCTTTTATATGGTGGGAGTAATCCTTTATGAGGTCTTCTTTCTTGACGGAGCGACCAAAATATAGAAGTATTTTAACGAGATCGATGATATCGTTCAAAAATTGTGTCTAATCGTCAATATCAAGCGACACTCGACCACATATTACACAGTTAAAGCTGTAGAATTACGTCGAGTAGGCCTATGAAGCTTTATCTCAGCCACCGTACTAATGGAACTGGTTGCTAGTTATCTACAACGTTTTCAAGCTTCTTAACAAATATCGCTTAAGGAAATCTTCAAAAACCAAACCGCTGCTAAAAATGGCTTTGAGAAATTCGTCGCATCAAGATTTGAAATTTTGGAAACAAACAAATCTTGCGCGTAATTAACAAAATGTGTGTACTAACGACTAATGTTTTGATTACTAAGATTTAATTGATTAATGAAATTAATAATTAAATTCAAGAATAAACTAGTTCGGAGAAACGCAAAGCAAGGGTATCCGTGGTGCAGTGTGTAATACGCGAGCCCCCATAAAGGGTAATCGTGGTTCGATCTGGTCTAGGATCAAAGTTTTGTGAATATCTTAGCATTGTTTTGGTAGCATTTCACATCATACCCTGGCATGAAAAAATGATTGCAGGCAGCCAAGAAAAGGTTAACATTGCAATAAAATAGTGTTTGGAGTAGTATTTCAAGGTTATTATTCAAATTACGCTGCAGTTTTTAAAGCGGCTTAGTATATTCAGGAGTTTCATATTTTTAAAACAGCAGGAATCAACCGTGATTATTAACTGTAATATTCAAGGTCGGTATTGAAGTGGGCACTACTGCAGATCAAATGACACCTACAATGCGATTAGGAATGCAGTATGGAGTGCCTTTGCTGATTCTCGTTGTTAGCTCGCAGTTTTCAACGGTACATGCAGTGTTGCTGTATTTCACTCCTGGACATTACATTTCCAAGTGTTTACTCTTCTTTCAGGGTATTTGTGTGTATTGGTGTGCGTCAAATATGATATCTCTTCTCTACGCTGGAGCTTTTACAGTGCCAGCAATCCGTAAATTATTTAACATTCCACCGTTGGTCCAATCACCTAAAGAAAATCAGAAAAAGAACTCATTCAGAGAGGCTATAGCAACTTATAAAGGTGAATTATTGCCTATTTATCAAGCTTTTTACTAGTCATTAGTTCTTGCAACTTCTTCACACACCCTTCAGTCACCATTGTTGATCGCACTTCCTTAATTGTTTTTTAGCTAAAGAATAGCGCCATACAATAGTGCACAGAGTTGCTAGGAGTTTTCTTTTCTGTTATTTCGAATGTTACTGCAATCTTTTTGCTTATCATTTGTCTTCACACTGTGCCCTGAGTGACTTATGAGGACGGTAACAATATCTTCTTCTGTCTATGTAGATTGTAAGAGTAACCCAGTAAGCTCTAGGTAGTCGAAGCGCACTGTTTTTCTGTGATTTCTGTGAACAACTCCGAGTAGACCATCGGTGGTCTTCCTTCTGTACGCTTGAAATCCCGTGCGACTCTCACTCACTTATGAGTACTATGCTGCTGCTGTTGCTTAAGCTGTTTCATATGTCCGACCCACTTGTTTTGTGATATATTGACTTATACAGCAACGTCGGTATACGTCCATGTAACATCACTAAATGTCGTTTTCGTTAACGCTGATCTATTATCCTAGCTTTTCCTTCCAGCGACCAGGTTCTCTAAACATACGCTAGGGCAAGAAGAGTGACTCCGAACTTTGAAAGGTGGGCATAAAGTTCGCTGTTCTTTACGTTCTTCACTGTGCTCTCGGTGATCTTGTAGGCACCGTAAACCGCTTCTTGCCTCGTGCTCAGCTCTACAGCTAAGTTCTTCACTGCTCGACCCAGATACGTGAAATTATAACACTAGGTGGTATAGGTTCCCCTGAGCGTGAATGATGCAGTCACCCCTACTAATTGATTACATTAATACAGCCGCTAATGCATATATGACACGACAATATTATCACATTATTATTATTGCCGAAAAATTTTTTTGTCAGCATTACAAATGCGGCTCCAAAGCTTGTTTCCTTTTAAGGTTATCTTGTTTCACTGTAAAACGATTTTCCTTCTGATGGCACCTTTCTGTCATTTCAGGTTGACTTCGTTCCACTCATTTTCAGTGAACTTAGACTGATTTTTCACTGTGCCATCAGATGTGTTTCTTTTATTTGAAGATTAGTCAGAAAACTGGTTCAGTACACTTGCAAGTGACCTCTCAATAAGGAATGATTTTGCAGCAAACAAAAGGATTCCTCCAACAATAGCTCAACTCAAGGAACAAGACGCGATGCAGTTCAAAAAGGCTGGTCGTGGCAAGCCGATCATCAAAAGCTCTTAGTTGTTGTTAAGGTAGATGTTAGAAGCAGACGTACAGCAGGAATATTCCTAATAAGAGTCGAGGAGGCAGCTATATGCAAGAAGATTTAAGATAAATGATCTTAAGCATTCGTCAATGTTTGTACTGTTGTCATGAACTGATTTATTTCATCTACAAGGCTTTTCGTCATTATTATTGTTCTTGTTATGTTTCGTAATTAAGCAGGCTAAATTGTTAATAATGCCTCTATATGAAAACTGTTGTGTAGTCATTGTTATCTTTACCTGGAATTCGGATAGATTCGTAAAAATTCTGTTGAGATAGTCCTAAAGGCGTTGTTGAACAGTGGAAAATTAAGTCAGTGTATTCTTCTTAAACGGGCACGAGGTTATTGGTTACAAAATTCGTCCAAAACTTCTTGAAATTGCAGTGGTTTCTCCTTCTTCAGAGTCTGGAATGGTCAAATGGACACGCAATCTGTTCAGCCAAACACTTTCCCTCTACACGGAAGTTTATTGCCTTTCGACCGTTACGGGTGATTGCTTGTCGCACCACTAAAGTGAAAACTGTCTGAGAAAAAGACATAGCAAGGTCCCTGATTGGTGTGGTGGATACTAGGTGAGCCTCGGAAAGGGTAATCGAGGTTCCGAGTTTTGTTCATATATCAGCATGCTTGTGGTTGTAATGCAAAACGCTTCAAGGGTTGAAAGCAGTTATATTTTAAATTAGTGCTGGTGGATAGTGACTTTTAGTTCTTAGCTACCGTTGTGTCCTTGTGTCTTTTGCGTGCCTAGTGGAGTGTTGTTTTGTTCTACTCAAGGTTTGTCAATTGGGAGCTCTTTTGCACGGACGAGGAGTGCTCTACACATTTCTCCATCGTATTCGTCCTCTCTTTCCATGAAACGAGCACCGTAGCAGAGCTCACAATCGCCATCTCTACCGCTTAGGGAAAGTGTGATTTTGTGCTATACGCATATGGTAATACAATCGGTTATTAACTAGCTAAGTTTTAAAGTGTTCAATAGTATTTCGATCACGGTTACCGAATTCTCTAGGGTGCCCTATTTCAGTATCTCGCTATAGCCCTGCTCACTTCTTTGGAGATAAAGAGCAACTCATACGGAACCTTCTTCTTGTTAGACTTTTCCTTTGCGCGCTTTGTTTTTTCTCTACACCTATGTTGAGGTGCTACCGTTTCGTAGCTATCGGAAATGGCTGCTTGCGGCACCAGTTTCCAGTATTCCTCTTTCTGCTCTCTTCCTGTGCACACGCCGGCGGCAAAACATGCTTTTTAAAAGCGCCCTTTTGTGTGTGAGTAGTGAGAGGAGAGATAATGAATCAATAGGCTTTAACTACTTGAATTTCGGTGCCACTTGGTAGTGTAGCAGTTTTCAGGTAAGTTAATTTGAACGTTCAGAAATGGTGCCAGTTTTCTTTCCGTTTTGCTTAGGTGAACTTAATGTACTCTGACTGTTCATTCAATAACTCCAACCATTTGTCCATTTGCTCTTGTGTTGACCAAATGACAAAGCAATCCTTTATATATCTGCAATAGAGTCGTGGCCGGATACTAGGTTCGACGGCTTTATATGAATGCTATGGCAAGACTTGGTCCCACCCGTTCTCCCATAGCCATCCCTCTCATTTGTGCGTAATATTCTCCGGATCATCTGACGACTAAGCAATTTAGGCAAACTTTTAAGAGGGCCATAAGCTACTGAAGCGAACAGCCAAACATGTTTGTTGCTCCTGCATGATCCATAAGTGAAAATTTAAAAAATCGCATCGTCGTTGCAATCTTGTATTTTGTCGAATTCTACTCTCAAATGAATTATCGGACTATGATGTTGTGCCCAACGTTGTGAACAGAAAACTACTTTTGACACGTTACAAAACATAGTTGTTGAGGCAAAATTGTTAGCCTTCATTACTCTTGCGGCTGTCTATTACTTACCACAGAAAGTGTAACATGGAACTTTTACCTATGAGGATTGAGGATAACCAAATAAACACGGCCAGGGAACAAGTGGATGTGCTGGCGGCCTTTTTCTCTACCACTTTTCAAAGGTTGGGTCCTCTGGAAGCACTCGTATATTTCTGAAGTTCACTTGTATACCTATAATCGATCTTAACTTCTTGTCTACCCTGTTTCAAGAATTTCAGCCAATATTTCCGAATGTAGTCTGCTTTTTCCTCTTTTTACTTTTTGAACTTAGGTCTATTGCATGCTTTAGAAAGTCTTATACGGCCGTCTCGATTTCCAAAGAAAGCTATACTCAACATTTGCGAACGATTCATTTGAATATCTAAACTTATTGGTTGTTCACTGCGAAATACTTATTTTTATAGGAGCGTGTTTATGGTCGATACTGTTCTATTATTTTTATTGCATAACCACTTCTTATAACGTACCAACCTGCCTGAGCGCTCTCATTTGCTTCGTTGTCTCGCATCATCTCGCAGAAGCCTTCGGAATTGCGCGATTGTTCGGGTACCACCTGATAAATTTGTCCTCATAAATTTATCAGGTGGTATCCGAACATTAAGTAAATAATAAATGCTGTTGAATAGTGGTCGAGCAGATCCTCCTTGAAATACCGGAATAGATGGGTTAGACTGTCTCCAGATCTTCACTACAGTTAATCGTCGACATAGATTAAAGGTAGCTCTTTCTAGACAAGTGTGGTAGCAATTCGATTGCCCTAGAGGGTTGGAGGGCGGGGTTGATAGGTTACGTGGCTTGAAAAACTGGAAACTGGTTCGACCAGCGATAGAATTATAACACGACAACTCTAATCACTATTTTTCCCATGCCATTTGCTATTTTTTTTACACGATCCCTCTATCATAACTATTCTGCGCATCCCAGTACGTCTCACATTCGATTCGTTTCCTAGCACCCATCATTCACTAAGGTCCTCAAATATTACATATGTGTTTGGCTTCTGCTTAAGGAATTTTCATTCTTCAGGAATGCAGTTGAATGCTGGTTGAGTCGGTTCCCTTCAGTCCTGAGATAGCCGGCTTAGAGCATTTCCATTTGGATTGCAGAGAGCGCACTTTCACAGACAAGCCTGTTGCCAATTTCCCGATCTTGGACAGGTGAGAGGTTTGGTGGCCTTGGGATGGGGTCGAACCGGCACCGTGTTCGTGATGACCGGCATCGCTACCACTATGCTTCCCACCCCTTGCCACTTGTTGTGACCTAGTAGTTTCTATGTATTCAGCACAGTTAAAAGTGCATCAGAACGGTTGTTCCGAATGCTAGATTGAGTTTATAAGGCTGAAGAGTCGAGTTAGCAGCGATGGCCCGCGGCGTGACTCACTTGCTGTCTTAGACGTCATCTACGTCATCATGATGATTAACAACAAAAGAAATGTTCTTTTCTTCTCGCTTGCAGCTTATTCCCGCATGGAAGCACTATTGCTGTCTTAGTGTAGACAGCAGCTCCCGATGTTTTGAAATTTCGGAAAAACTAGCGCGCTATAGGTGACGCGCTAATCAAATCAACTCTTTTTATTTTAGGATCGATTTTTATTAACTCAATGAATGACATGAAGTGGCTTTCTAAGTTTATACAGTGATTTATTTATTAATATTGCGTCTATGGAACCGGACAATGTCTTGCATCTCTCAGTTCTTTATAATATTTTCTATTTTTTTAAAATATATTTTCGTTTCTTCCACTTGGATACTATTTTTCCCATAAGTTTCGATGAAAGTGCGCTTAAACACTTGAATTTTTTATCTTTAGGAATAATGAAGAATCAGCTTCTGCAATACAGTTCCCATCCGATTGGTAAATTGTTGGTTGGAGAAACTTTACTTTCCTTGGAGACTCAAAAATCATGGCGTTTCCACCAAATCGTCGTCACTTATCAGCTGGTAATGACTACTGTTGCCAGGATCGCAGCGATTCATGGCAGTGGTTTACTTTTGGCTAATCTACCAAATGGGAATGTCGAACTCGTTTTCAGCTGGTGAGACTCGGTTTCGGTAACGGCTCATTGTACATCGCAATTTCAAAAACACGAACGCCGTCCATTTACAATGAGACGATAAGCCATTGCGAGGTCGATTCGAGAGAGAATTGAAGCACAGCGCCTGAAATGCGTTGAACACAAAACATTTGCTGCGTAGGTAATGGCGCTTTCAGCACAACACCATTGTATTCTAGCTCAAGTTCAATTCTTTTAAAACTACTTGAGAGACAGGCGAAACGAAGGACCTGCATGGTGTGGTGGTGAGCGCGTTAGCCCCCCGGAAAGTGTAATACGCTTTCGTTCCCCACCGCTTACACCTGCGGTCCGGAGTTTTGCAAATCTCTCAGCATCATTGTGGTTGTATCACACATAATACCTTACCGTAAGGAAATAATAGGAAATAAATAAAAAGTTAACAAGTTAATTTGATTGATAGGATTAAATCCCAGTATAATCTATAGATCTTCACCAATCGGGTACAAATTACCCTACTCTGTTAAGGCAAATTATGAGTTTCTGCATTCAAGCAGGATTTTCTTTTTCTTTTTTTGCTTTTGTTTGTTTTGTGTTCTGAGCTTACTTGACACTTTCAAAATCGGGAAATAGTGCTTTCACCAAGCAGAGTTTAATAAGTTCTATCCTGTTGAGCTCACCTAATTCCTATAATTCGTATTTCATACTTGTGTTTTGCATTTACTTTCTATATTTTTCATTTAAACACTGTCTTGTTACTTACTAATTATTACCTCTGCTATTATTAGATGAGTAAGTTTTGTGTAGCGGACTTGTCGAAGTATTCTTCAGTACGCCCAAGGCTCTGGCTCCAACTCACATTAGGTAGACCAAACCTCCCAATCGTTAGGAGCTTATCACGCATATCTAGGAAGCACCATCCAAATCATAAAGGCTGTTGACTGATTATGATGAAGATCCGGGTATACTCTAGCACGGATATTCCTGAATGCTGTACAGAATCTATTCCACATTCGCCTAGCGATGCCAAAATTTTCACTCAGCAGCCGAGCCCACATGCGGAT